CTAGCGTGAACCCATGGTCGTCTGGTATGTTAACAGTATTTGATTGAGGTAACTCCGTTGGTGTTTCGCTCTCCCTTCTTAGTTCGGCCGTTCTCTCCATGAGTCCATACCGTGCCCGCTGAACATTGGCCTTGTATGCCGCGAAGCTTGGACACGCCCCCTTCTGCCACGATAAGTGGGCCTTGCCACAGTTGCAGCAAAGTACCGACTTCTTCGGACAGTCCCTGGTCTGATGGGTGCCCGCGCACCCTCCACATCTCCTTGCCTTGTTGCAGGATGCTTGGGTGTGCCCCCATTGGCTGCAGTTGAAGCACTGCTTGACTTGTGCTCGGGGTGACCAGAGCTGGGCCGTGTAGAGCATTGAGTCCATTACAATGCCATTTCGGATCACTTCGCGTTGTAGAGCCTCGGTCGGTAAGCTCGCAATAACTGATCCTCGAGTATGGCCATTTTCCTTCACCCAGATGTGCTCCTTCCCGTCATAGAGCCATCTCACCCTGTTGATTTGTATCCCCGGAATCCGTGCTTTTGTCTCCGTTGTCATTTTAAATATTGCCACGCTGTTGTTGGCATTCTTTCCTCCGTGAATTATTGTCCCCAGTGGGACTCCCAAGATTTCAACAGGGTAATCCTGCTTTAGGACGCAGAACTCTTTGGGCTGCGCCATCCTCAAGGCAGCGTCTCTCTGGGAGACCGACTGCACGAACACCTCAGTATCGTTGCTCCTTAATTGCCTCACGGCGTATGCTCCATTTATATGTAATTTTGCTTTATTAAGCAGCTCTGTCGGCTGCATCTTATTGGCCCCTTCTACTCGAATCCGTACTGCCGCTTTGGTTGCTGGCGGCGCGACGATCGAGGCGTACGTGGGTCGACCTCCCATTGCTTGTGCTGGTTGCGGTGCAGTCTTGTAGACCGGCTTATCGAGACTCTCCTTTACGACCTTCTCTAAGGCCAACATTCGATCTTCCATTGGGTTAGCCGTCAGCTTTGATCGGAACATCTTGGCGTGGGCTACGAAGGCATCAAGTACCTCATCTATCTCGACCATCGGTGTCGCAGATTTTTCAGTTCCTGCAATCGCCAGTCTATCTCGGACCCTGTTTAGATAATAAGCCACTGTTTTTAGTTTCTCCAATTTCATGCCTGTAGAAGTCGCGAGAGATTCTACAAGCATTATTGCGGCTGTTCCGCTATCCGTTGGTGGTGGTGGTGGTGCCGTGAAAATTTTTCCAGCCGTGAAATCCACCTTTCCTGTCCCCCAACTCGCCATGCCGAAGCGCAACGAAAAAAATTCGAGGAATCAAGTAAGAGTGATTGATTGAGATGAATGCAATAATTAAAACGATGATATAACGTTCGTGGAACGTGGTGCCGCTTTTGACCAAATGATGATGTTTTTCCTATTATTATTATTATTATTATTATTATTATTATTATTATTATTATTATTATTATTATTATTATTATTATTATTATTATTATTATTATTATTATTATTATTATTATTATTATTATTGAATTTGATCTAGTTTAACGTCCTATGCGGTATCTATATACAGAACCATGAAGACGGTAAGCCATGTAAAATAGGGAAAAAGCTTTCAAGCAACAAAACCCATAGTTCCGCCGCGACGGCACAGCCCAGCTTAATGCTGAGGCTGTCCCTTTGTTCCATTCAATTTTGTCTCACCCCAAATGTTAACTCCTCTATCGCCCAGATCCCTATTCAGCTGAAGTTTGGAAGATTTCTTACACCATCCTGCTCTCCTCTTTTCGATGACGGAATAGTTGGAACTGCCGGTGTCATAGCCCTTAATGTATTTAAAACTGCTGTTGAGTCTGCGATCACCTTTCGTGGACGTCCTGGTCCCCTCTTCTGGGGTTCAACCTTGCGATTAGTAACCAGTGTAAATCCTTGATCGTCGGTGGTCGCTGATGCTGTTTGCGACACAATTATGGGACTGGTTTCCCTTCGAATTTCCGCCGTTCGTTCCAGAAGCTCAAAGCGGGCTTTCTGAACACTCCCCTTGTAGGCTTGAAATGTTCGACATGACGCTCTCTGCCACGAACGATGTTCCTTGCCACAGTTGACGCAAGAAACTCTTTTCCTAGGACAGTCCCGGGTTTGGTGAGCACCTGCGCACTCACCGCACCTAGCTGCCTTTCCGCATGACGCCTGCGTATGTCCCCATTGACTGCAGTTGTAGCACTGCTTTGCTTGCGCCCTCGGGGACCACACCTGCGCTGAGTATAGCATGGCATTAATGACGATGCCATGTCGAACAACTTGTTTCTGCAAGACCTCCGTGGGAAGACTCAGAACAATTGAGCCCCTTGTGCGGCCATTTGTCTTGGCCCGCTCGATCTCCTTTCCGTCGTGCATCCATCTTATTTTATTAATCTTTAAACCTGGAATTCGTACTGCTGTAGACGATTCCATCTCCCGTATCAAAGTTGTGTTGTTGGCATATTTGCCTCCTTCAATTTTCGTCCTCAACGGGACTCCGTACACTTCCACTGGAAAATCTTGCCTTAGGACTTGAAAGTCCTCTATTTCTGCCATGTTGAGTGCCACGTCTCTCTGGGTTGCCGACTGAACAAACACCTCGGTGTCATTGCTCCGCATCTGTCGCACTGCGTATGCCCCTGGAATATGTTTTTGTGCCCTCATTAGCAGCTGTGCTGGCTGCATGTCTTTTGCACCCTCGACGCGTATTCGAACCGCTGTTTTGGCCATTGGCGGTGCTGCCACCGACGCGTATGTTCTTGGGGCCGGCGGCCCAGAAATTATTGGAGCCGCGTTGCGAGCGGGCTCCGCGAGACTCTTCTTGACTGCTTCTTCAAGAGCCAACATCCTTTCTTCGATGGGAGATTTTATCGTCTGCATCTCCTTCCAAGCCTTGTTGTGTGCGTTGAAGGCCCTGACGGCCTCCGCGATGTCTTCCGTGGTGATGGTAATGCCATCGTCGTCTTCGTCTGAATAAAGTGTCCTGAGCTTTTTTAGTAATAGCCTTAGGATATTGAGATTCTTATCTGGAGGAACTGTTGACGCTCCGCTGCCTTGAGATTGTTTGGCCATTGTCGCGATTTGCGACGCGTCGGGACCGCTGGATCCCATCGAACCGGCACCAGCACCCACCATGTTGTGGCACAGAAGATTTGGGGACGGAAATGGGGTAAGATTGATGAATAAATGCGATTTACGAAGTCAATTTGATGAAAGAGGCAGCGTGGAGTGCTGCGCAGCTTTTCGTGAAAAATGATGTTTCTATTATTATTATTATTATTATTATTATTATTATTATTATTATTATTATTATTATTATTATTATTATTATTATTATTATTATTATTATTATTATTATTATTATTATTATTATTATTATTATTATTATTATTATTATTATTATTATTATTATTATTATTATTATTATTATTATTATTATTATTATTATTATTATTATTATTATTATTATTATTATTATTATTATTATTATTATTATTATTATTATTATTATTATTATTATTATTATTATTATTATTATTATTATTATTATTATTATTATTATTATTATTATTATTATTATTATTATTATTATTATTATTATTATTATTATTATTATTATTATTATTATTATTATTATTATTATTATTATTATTATTATTATTATTATTATTATTATTATTATTATTATTATTATTATTATTATTATTATTATTATTATTATTATTATTATTATTATTATTATTATTATTATTATTATTATTATTATTATTATTATTATTATTATTATTATTATTATTATTATTATTATTATTATTATCAGATTTTAATTGCGTATGCAGCTATCTAGCTATGACACAATATCAAAGAAAAGTATAGAAAAGATGATTCAGTTTAAAAGTAGAGCACTCATGCCTCAGATTTCATTTGCAAGTACCACTGCGAAGTTATGGCGGCTTTTTCTTCACCCCAAGTCAACCCTCATCCGTGAATACCCACCCAGGGGAACGTCTCAAAAACCCTGAGTTATCCAGACATGCCTCCATCATCTTTCAACTTTTCTCCGCGCGAAATATGGTCTGAGATGTCTCCTTCCCAAGTGGAGTAGGTGCCTAGGCTACTCAAACCATACCAGAGAACAACACCAGGAGGCGGACCACAACACCTTCCATCGTTTGCTTGTTTTTGTAGTGTCAGCTGCACTCTCGCAAGCGAAGTCTTGGCGCGCACAAAGCTCAATTCGAAAAACACCTTGCCAAAATTCGGAATCTCATGCCCTTCGAAGTTATATCCTTCCTCTGTATCATCTTGTCAACTTGTCCTGATCCGTCTCACGTCCGTCCCAAAGAGCTATCTCCCAAAATTGTGCTCCACGCTTTGCTTCCTCCGTCGGGTGTAAATATCGGCGTGGGCGTGTATTTGGTGACCAGCTGAGGCCAGAGAAGGTCGAAGAGTGGTGTGGTCATTGGAATGAGGATGTACTTGGTCGTACTTATAGACTCGATGAGACGAAGATAGGAGTCAAACTCGTTGGGAGCGAAATAACGAAGTGGATGAGTAATTTGAATTTTTGCCTCGTGGACCAACTTCTTTGATATTGCGAAATTTGACTGAACTTGGCTCTGGGAGAATATTTCACTCCCAGGTTCGTAGAGGACACCGCGTACAGGTGTTCAGTCTTGCCCTCCGGTTGTGATTCCTAGCGTAAGCGTTGATTCTCGTCTCCTATTCAATTATCTACAAAATTTCCTGTTTATAGCGGAAATTGAAGATTTAAGGTGTCGTCGTTACTTTATGTCCCATAAATTTATGTCAGATTCACATGTGGTACAAGATCGGCATAAGCTGGTAGAGTTTGGGCCGTAGTTGTGGACTGGGAACATACAGCTTCCCCGACTCCACCAAATCAACCTAAGAAACTGCTATTTTCGTCGCATGTCAGCCAAGTCCACCCTACAAATTAAGCAAATTGATATTGTGAAAACGTTGGAGGATGGCTGAAGCTGTGAGACAACCTATCAATCAAGCCCGTCTTGAAGCCTATCTATCTAAAAATTTACCTGAAGTCACAACACCGATACATATCAAACAGGTAACCTTAAAGCTCAATTATGCCTTATCAGACACTTCTTTAATATTCAATTTTAGTTTAAATTTGGTCAATCGAATCCTACCTATCAGTTGACGGCTAGGAGTGGGATAAAGTATGTATTGCGCAAGAAGCCGCCAGGACAGCTGGTATCAAGTACTGCGCATCAAGTGAAGAGAGAGTATCAGGTCTTACACGCTCTTCAAAACACAGATGTGCCGGTCCCAAAGGTTTATTGTTACTGCGATGACGAGAGAGTTCTAGGAACACCATTCTATGTCATGGAATATCTAGATGGAAGAATCATGGAAGATCCTGGATTATCAAACTTGAAATCAAGCGAGAGGCATGAAATGTGGTATGATGCTTTTCGTTCGCTATCGAAGCTTCATCGCATTAATGTGGTTGACGTTGGTCTGCAGGATTTCGGCAAACCATCGGGATTTTTTGACCGCCAGATCAAAACCTTAGCCACCATCAGTCAAGCTCAAGCGACAGTCCAAGATCAAGAGACAAAAGAAATTATCGGCAGTATACCTCATTTACATGAAATGCTCAGTTATTTTAGCGACAAAGTGACTCAACCACGAGATAGGAACACTCTAATACACGGGGACTTTAAGATCGATAATCTTGTCTTCCACAGAACGGAACCCAGAGTCATAGGCATTCTTGAGTGAGTCACATACTCAAACCTATGTACAGTCTCTCAAGTAGTTATTGATTTGGAGTAGTTGGGAAATGTCGACTTTGGGTCATCCACTATCAGATCTTGTTAACCTCATCGCACCTTATACATTTGGTAATCAATTAAGCTGTAAAGTTCTCCCATCTTTGACGACTGATGCATTACTCGGCTTGCCCTCGCTCAAAGAACTCATAAAATATTTTACAACTTTGACTGGCTGGGATCCAACGCCTGACTTAATGTGGGGAGTAGCGTTTGGGCGCTTCCGGACGACGGTCATCCTTCAAGGGATCGCATCAAGATATCTACTTGGGCAAGCCACCAGTCTCCTGGCCCAAGAAAATGCTAGAGCGAGGCATGTCGTAGCCGATATTACTTGGGAACAGATACTAGCGAACAAAAGCATTAAAATTAAATCGAGTCTGTAGAGCAACAATCCGGAAGACGATCACTCATCTTTCCCATAAAACTTATTCCAATATGTCGTAGAACCTGACATGGATCATTGGGCTTTTAGTGCTACTTTCACTAATCTTAATGCAAGTTTATTCAGGGATTCATCAAGGTACAGATTTATCCCGTCACATTATTTCATCTTTATTCTCCTACATTTCGTAGACTCAGTGTCTGCAAGGATCTCAAACTTCTACTCTTTTGCAAATATCGGAAGGGATTAGCACTATTAACAAGATAGCAGTGATTAATTAAATGGGGGTTGAATTCGATCTCATTACCCTGATTCGGCGCCCTATGAGCTTCTGCAGGTAACTGTGAACTGTAATATTTATGTGAGAGGAGTCCTTTGGGTGAAATCCTAAGCTCTTTCTGTTTGTTACCTTGATTTCCATATTTATCCTTTGGAAGTGCAGTAATATCAAAGTGCCATCAATTGTCACAGTCTAAGCATAGGCACTTGAGCAACCTTATGGTCAGAGGTAGTTTATTTTCAATCTATGGTGAACTACAGATTGAAGAGGATAATAACAGCTACTTTATACATGATTATTATCCAGGCCAATGACACAGTTTTCTATCCGTATATCCGTATCCCATCTCGTATCCATTCTTGTGCCCTATTCTTAGAGGTGTTTGCCAAGTTATAAGACCCTGCTTCCAAGAATAGTCCCTGCCTAGTTTCATGCTAATCCTGCGTTTGACAGCGCAGGCTAAAGGCAATTACCGGCTTACAAGCCGTCACATCAATGAAAGCCAATTACACCGTCTCTATTGATCCCGAGCATTAACCGCCATGTCTCATTCCCTCAGCAACATTTATACCACCTTCATCACCTGGAATACATCTATCCAACCATGAGCTAAGATCCATTGCTTAATTCTTTTGATGTCAGCCGGATTATTTATCACGTCTTCGAAGGAGAGATTCTTAACTTATCTCAGCATCAGTCTTTAATCACTTGACCATCAATGGCAGAACATGATCGTGTACTTGGTATTCCATGATCGATAGCCACATAGACAGCTTGGGCTATAAACTCTTGTACTTTTCGTCTTTGTAAGTACGAATTGTGTCTCACTGGCTCGCTTCGAATATAGATAATATACTGCACTGGACCCTTATCAGATCTTTTGAAAAAAAGATGGCGATCCATGTGGACTAATTTTCAACAGTTCCAACCGTCAGCTTCGAAAGAATTCAACTGCTCTCCAGGTTTCGAAATCTGTAACAGGAATTTGTCGAGGCTGCCAGAGAAGCCCTTGAGTTGACCAAGATTTCGCTTATTCTTAAAATGCTGCGAAATTTCCCGCTACTTTCTGCTTCCCTTTGGAATAGCCCTTCCTGAAAATTTACACTCAGTGTGTCGGATCGAATATTCTGTTATTGCTCGAAAATGTCATCTCCCTCGCTTAAGTGGCTTGACATTACGACAGGCAGATTTTATCATCTTGTGGGCTCGTAGGCCCTTTGAGAGAATAACATATTGGAGTCTCCGCTGCTTCGAGATTTCTTTTGATAAGATAGTCGTTTCATACTATAGCACTATCGTGCTGGTCGACTTATATGCTTCCGGGACGACATTCAGGTAATTACATTGAGAGCCTCTGACATGCTTTACTCTCCTTGTTGGCACAAAAGGGCTCACTCAGTTTGATTCTTCAAAAATGCTAAAAAACAAGTGGTTTATTTCTGTCTATCTTCTTTCTGCATCCGCAGGGGACACCAATGACTGATTTTGAGTTTCGTCCTACTCGTATTAGGCGTTTAGTAACAACACATACTTATTTTTATATAAATATTTTTTTTATGTCTACCGGGCACTGGTTAAAACTAAAGCCCCATGTTACGGAAATACTCCCTTGTGTGTGTACTGTCAGCGCCAGCACGGTAGAGATGCAATCTAGGGTCTAGTCAGCTTTAGAGACTACCAAGGTTGGGAGGGCAAGACTGAACACCTGTACGCGGTGTCCTCTACGAACCTGGGAGTGAAATATTCTCCCAGAGCCAAGTTCAGTCAAATTTCGCAATATCAAAGAAGTTGGCCCACGAGGCAAAATTTCAAATTACTCCACCATATCAATCTTTCACTCCCAAAGAGTCCGATTCTCAACTAAGCTTCATCAATTCTACAAGTACGACCTAGTACATCCTCGTTTCAATGACCACACCTCTCGTCGACTTTCTCTGGCCTCAGCTGGTCACCAAATACACGCCCACGCCGATATTTACACCCGACGGAGGAAGCAAAGCGTGGAGCACAATTTTGGGAGATAGCTCTTTGGGACGGACGTGAGAGGGATCAGGACAAGTTGACAAGATGATACAGAGGAAGGATATAACTTCGAAGGGCATGAGATTCCGAATTTTGGCAAGGTGTTTTTCGAATTGAGCTTTGTGCGCGCCAAGACTTCGCTTGCGAGAGTGCAGCTGACACTACAAAAACAAGCAAACGATGGAAGGTGTTGTGGTCCGCCTCCTGGTGTTGTTCTCTGGTATGGTTTGAGTAGCCTAGGCACCTACTCCACTTGGGAAGGAGACATCTCAGACCATATTTCGCGCGGAGAAAAGTTGAAAGATGATGGAGGCATGTCTGGATAACTCAGGGTTTTTGAGACGTTCCCCTGGGTGGGTATTCACGGATGAGGGTTGACTTGGGGTGAAGAAAAAGCCGCCATAACTTCGCAGTGGTACTTGCAAATGAAATCTGAGGCATGAGTGCTCCTCTTGTGAATTGAGTCATCTTTTCTGTACTTTTATTTGATATTTTGTCATAGCTAGATAGCTGCATACGTAATTAAAATCTAATGCAAAAAAAAAATACCAAGGTTGGAGATTGGAAACGGTTGCTAAGCAACGGAGACTGTTATGATCAGCGCGATTAATTAATATCCCTTATGTAAATAGCAAGATGTCGAAGACCTAGCGTTTTAAGATTTCGTTAATTAACTGTTTTTGTTCCGGACTTGCTCTGCTGTATGCCAACACTAATTGATCCGGCGACACCCCATCTCTGAGGGGATATGGTGACTGCTATGTAATACAAGGTATGATGTGCAGTGGTAAAGACCATGAAAATACATTTAGAAACTGCGAGCGCTATTCAGCGGATTCCTTGCAAGAATAGTTCAAATGGTACGGAGTGAGAAGATTTCTAACAGGAGCGTAATCTTCTCCATTAAGGTGACGAAACGCTTAGCTCCTGTGGAGGTGCTGAGGAGAAAATAGATTGAGCCCATACTTCGTCAATGACCGGCCGAGGCCAGTCTTTCTCGCACAAGGGGGCCAAAAACTAAGTAAGTGACTGACTTTTTGGCTCCGCAGTGACAAGTCAGAAGGGCATCATATGATAAAACCTTTTGTTATAAGCACGAAATTCACCGTGTCTATTGCAGCATTGGAATAAATACCCGAGGTATTGACGAGGGAGTTGCAATTCCTCAGGAGGCTTCTTGGTGAATGGTATCCCTGCAAGAATATACGCTTATCTGTAATAATTTTGATTTGATTTCTTCATACTGATTTGGCGCCCTAAAGACCCATGCAGGCAGCTATAATCCTATCTATATATTTATGTAGTAGGATACCTCACGGATAACATACTCCCAGCCTTCTGATTTATATCTTTGACATTTAGAATTCATTCTTCAGGAAGGTGAACTATTTCAACACCTGTCAGTGGTGTCCCCTACGTACCTCCGGCTCTCACTGTAGAGTCTGCAGAGCCGAGATTGAGTAATAAAGTCCTCACTTCGATGAGGATTCCCAATTGCTTTCGCATTCTGTATCGTCTTCATCCCTCAGCATATTCCCCTATCGCCATTATCATGAAGCTAACCACGATCAGATCAGATGTTATGGTCGGAGCCCTACTCATCACCCACCCTTGATCACGGAGGAAATGCCATCCGATGAGTTTCCGGAGCGTACCCAGCACCCGATACGGAGATGGTGGATTGGATCAAGTCGGCCTCAACTGTTACAAAGAAGAGAGATATAGAGGTAATTCGCACCTCATGTGGTCCCGGTGTCTAGGCCTCGCCTGGCTGGGGCTGCAGGTTTTTTGAGACCTTTTACCGCACATGCAGCTTCCATTGCTACCATTTTAATATTTTTGGGTAGAAGGTTCCGTGAAAAAGGTGGCCGAACTCCACGGGTAAACACTGAGCTGAATGGCTATTCATCACGGGCAATACATCAATGATCTTTCAAGAAATATGAGAGGCAAGGAGCGCTGTACAAGGTGTGGCCTGGGTCAGAGAGGAGCCCGATGTGCTATATAGTCGACGACTTAAGTAGTACAACAAAAAACATCACTCACACACACCCACACAATTTTTTGAAATTCGGATGCGATTCTTCTGAGCTATCCCAGATATGTAGAGCACACTGAGCGATTACACTGGCACCACTGGAAGGTGAAGAATTCGTCTTTGCCAGCTCACACTCTGCTATTAAGCGCATGTACTCCCTCTGTTGAACCAAGTGTCCAAGATATGCTGAAGGTGAAATTTTGTGCTCGATGGGTCTGACCCTAGCACTGTCCAAGGTGGCAATAGAAAATTGGCTGGGGGATCTTTTCTCCCCATGGGCAGGATAGGATGGAATTATTGTCTTAAAACAAAGGGCTACGTTTGTTTTTTGTGTCATTGATTTTGCCAAGTTTTCACCAAGTGACTTGAAAAAAATACAGTATTACAATCTGTGCAAAAACTTGAAGCTAGGGGTTTCGACAGCAGAAGCATTGTAAGAAGAGGCAAGGCACGAACGGAGAGAATCCTGTGATAGGGGGGGAAGTTCAGTTACATGGAAATTGCTCATACTATATAGAAGCTATTGAAGCATATCACGAAGTGGGGGAATGTAAGGGGGGATGAGGCCAGCACACTTGTGGTTTGATTTATGGATTCCAGTCGAGCTTATCTATTTATCAAAACAAGCATGACAGTGTCGCTACATGACTGATAGATATAAGCAACTTGGCTCTGTAATACAACAAGCAGCCGCAAAGACTGTCTAGAAATAAGTCATAGTTTTATCTCCACAGTTATACATGTCATTTTGCATGGTATTTACATGCTTTCAATGAGTTTTGTCATGTGATCAACTGGATCTATTAGCGGTCAGAATCTCAAAAAACAGATTCATGCGGAGTTAAACGTCAGACATAGGCCATGTCGAATCAAAATTTTCAGGCTGTTCGGAATCTAGAGAGGAGTTTCCATTCTCCTTATGTGCAGTGTGTCATGCGCAAATTAGATTCCCAGGCTCTGGAAAAAGTGTCGTATCATTATTGCCTCTGGCTTTGGCGGTGCGTAAGATTCGACCCCAAGCATGATCTAACTTAGTTAAAATGCACAATTTTAATATTCGCCGAGACGTAAGGACTTAAAATTACAGAGCCATGTGAGATTTCTGACACAATTGGCTAAATAGGCTCGAGATTATTACCAAGCTGAAACTTCATAATTTTCCTAGACCGATGAGCACAGTTAAATTCTTTGCGCTGGGGATCATTACCTCTGAGAAATAAGTAGTAACAACCGTTCGATCAGCAAACTTTCTTCCGGCAAGTGATCGTAAGGCTTTGGCCGCTGATTCGGAAGTGTCAAATTTGACAAAAATTTTACCCACTCCATTAGATTGACGACTTCCTCCAGTCGGTCTTGGCACTTTCATATCTAGAACTTTGCCGAACTTTTCACACTCTTCTTTGACGTCTTCACAAATTTCTATTTTTTACACGTGAATAAGACCTTCATGTGAAAATTGAAGCCACTCACCATCATAATCATCGTTGTCAATTAGTTCTTCGGGGGTAACCATATTGAGGAGCTGTAATACACGGCCTTCTTCTAAGCCCGTAGATGTTGTTCCAGCTAGCATAGACATCGCATTGACTCCCATTTCAAGACCGGATACTTGAGTATGTCCAATACTTGCCTTTTGAACTCTCAATTGTTTGTCGCCTAGCTCCATCCCATTGAGACCCTCGACAGCAATATCTGTGGCTGAGGGGTCTGTATACTCACAAAAAGCAATTCCCTCCCGATAGTTAGTTCATTACTTAACAAAATTAGACATAAGTTATGGCAGATTGACTTACTCGTGATTCTTCTGTGCTACTATCTTTTACCAGCACAAATGCCTTGAGGTCTCCGAATGATACTAAAAGCTCAGTGACTTGATCATCTGTCAAGTAAAGTGGGATGTTAGATATACAAATTTTGTTCTGTGTATCTACCACGATGTTGGAGATAACGCCAGATTCATAAGGCGTTTCATCTGTTATTGCTGGGACTATGTAGTCTTTTGGTCGGCGGATAGAAAGGCCTTTCGACTGATTGGAGGATTTGCCATTCACATTTTCGTCCTCCATAGTGATTCCATCAAGGGCAAGGGCCATAGTTGCGTCAGTCGGTTGCTTGAACTCTATCAATGCAAAGCTTTTGTCTTTTGACATTTGTGCCGAGATGCACGGATCAGATCCTTCTATCACGTTCAAACCGTTAAGCTGGAGGTTAAAAAAGCTGATAATGCTCTCCTCACTCATCGTCGGAGGAACATCATGAACAAGTAGGCGCTTAGCTTGGCGTGAGTTTGAAGGCTTGAGAGCAGCATTGGTAATAGAGCCACTAGGTTGCGCCATAAAAGCTTGTAGCTTACTTGGATCCATGGGCTGTTGACGGGGAGCTCCAGGCAGTGGAAACATACCAGAAAGCTTTGCCTGCTCAGCTGTCACGTTTTCGTATCCCGGGGGTTTGATATCCCATTGCGTTAGACGTCTCTTTCGCTCCAATATTGGGACCACATCAGTCAAATCGGGAGTAGGTTCCTTTTTTTTGGGTGGGGGGGAGGCAGACTTTCTTCGATCCCGTCCTTGTTGTGCGGCAAAGCCGTCGTCGCCGCGATCCTGCCTTGCATTTCGTCGACCAACTCCACCACTTCCTCCACTACCACCACCACTACCACTGCCGGCTGCTCTTCGATCATCAAATAGGTCTCGATTTTCTCTTCGAACGGGCCTTTCTTCGTCTTCACGTCTAGAGTCGCGCCGCGAAGAGCCCCGATCTCTCTCCCATTCCCTATCGCCACCACCTCTTCTGTTTCTTCCCGAGTATCTATCTTCACGTTCACGTTCTCTGTAGTCGCGACTAGTGGAGTATGAGTCTATGTCACCCTCTCGACGTGAATGACGCGAGCCTCGGTGGCCAGGGGAGCGAGAACGCCGTCTATCTCTGTCTCCAACCCGATCATCACGCGATGACTGTTTTGGTTAGAAATTTCTAGGAGACGAAGCTTTGAGCTTACGGGATAATCTCTCGAGGAGCCATGACGACCGGAATCTATTGATGGCAGATTGTTAGAATTCTACTCCAATTGAATGACCGAAGTTGACTTCTAAAAAAGAGGTGGGAGTGCCATACCTCGGGATGTTATATAGCTATCGCCGTTCATATCTTGTAAATCTAATTATGATGTAATTTGGTTGGACTCTAGATATGCACAAACATACAAGTAATGTCGCGGTAGTCTAAGTCTAATTTTTGTCCAGGTCTCGACTAGAACACAGATCCCTGTAAGTACGCCCTGACCATTAGGACGTTTCTGGTCGTGCCAAGCCGAAGGTTTCAATATGGCATCCTTATCGAAGTGGCGCAAGATTCCAATTACTCCGGCAGAAATTTGCATAGATACCATCTTACGTTGTGGCCAATCGTTTCGATGGGTTAAGACGGAGGATAACGAGTGGTGAGGACATTAAGCTTAAAGCATGTGGACTTGTTAACGATCAACCAGGAACTGTGTACTTAGGGGAAGAATTGTATCTCTTAAGCAAGACGAAACGCATCTATATTATCGAGCGACTTGGCCCAGACCCTCATCTGTTGATTGTGTGCCTTCTGCTGATATATTTACCAAAGAGGAATCCTCCGTTGAAGAAGACGGTACCAGAGCCCTCCTTGAAAATTATTTAAACCTGAAGCCAAAACTCACAGCTCTCTACGAAAAATGGTCCTCAGCAGATTCTAATTTCAAAGAAAAAGCTCCAAGAGCTTCTGGAGTACGTTTATTGAAACAGGATGCATGGGAGGCGCTTGTGGGATTCATCTGTAGCAGCAATAACAATATCATTCGGATCTCAAAAATGGTATACTAACAGTGCCATATGTCAAATCGATCTAACTCAGATTTAGATAAGGAGCCTTTGTTCTCATTATGGCCCATTGATTGGTCACATCGGAGATCGGGAATTCCATGATTTTCCAACTCCTGAGACACTAGCAAAAACAGATGTGGAATCAAAATTGAAGGCTCTAGGATTTGGATATCGTGCAAAATACATTGTTAAAACTGCGATAGTATTATCAAAAGAAAAGCCTCCAGGATGGCTTGAAAGTTTAGGCAACCAAGACCCATGTTTTGACGACAATAATAATAATAACCCTTTTCCTCCAACCGGCAGGGAGAATTACCGCTACGCCCACGATCAACTATTACAATTAGTGGGGGTTGGGCCAAAGGTAGCAGACTGTGTTTGTTTGATGGGCCTTGGCTGGGATGAAGCTATTCCTGTTGATACACACGTCTGGCAGATTGCTCAGCGCGATTATAAATTTGGAAAAGGTAAACACAAGACCCTTTCCAAATCCACCTATGACGCTATAGGAAATCATTTCCGGCAGCTGTGGGGAGGCCAAGCAGGCTGGGCACATTCGGTCCTCTTCACAGCTGATTTAAGGGTTTTTTCAGGGAAACCTCTCGAGGAGCTAAATTTTCACATAATCACAAAGAGACCTTCGGAGGAGGAAGTAGAGCAGTTAAAGAAAGTTCCAAAGATGTTACTGAAACGTGAAAATTCAGAAGATAAAGATACGGACAGAAATATAGAAAATGATGGAGATTCAAGTCAGATCATATCAATTCCTCAATTAGCAGCAACCAAATCCAGCATTCCCTAATGAAGTTTTGGCTTATTCGATCAAAATGTTCACTTATCTTCCACAAGCGCTGCGTAGCTTCATACAATCGTAGTAGCTTTGAGTTATCATTTATTACAATTTTTACTGACGATAGAACTCTCTAACAATTCTTTAGTAAGTCTTATTATCGTAGATTCCAGAAATGAAAGATCAAAAATCAGGTCTTAAAAATTACTTTCAGAACAAACTCTAAAAATATCGGTGACAATCAGCACCCCCCCAAAAAAAAGACACGGAAGTCATTCTAGAGTTTCCGAAAAAGATACGAGCAGCATTCCTTTGTGAATAATAAAATAGTAACTCGGCTTAAGAGAAAAAGGCGACATTTTCGAGGCTCTTAGCTGGTACGAAACGTTTTGAAAAGAGGCACACCGAAACTTGAATGTGGTAGAAGAGAAATAATCTACCTCAGAGACCGCTATCAACATGAATAACTAAGGAAATGCGCGACTGAAAGTCTCAAAGATGGCAAAAATAAGCAGAAGCACCTTAGCATACGTTGATACGTTGTGGTCATGCCAGCTTCCAAAACAACAAAGAAAAAATAATTCTCGAAGCGGAGAAAAAACTGCACAACTAGCTGCTTCAAAATGAAAAACTTAACATAAATATAGCACTAGCTGACTGTCAAAATTGGAAGCTAGCAAATAAAGGCTTTAGTCTTTTTGGCATCTCTCTAACATGCTGGCCCTTAAAATTCTTATATATACGTATTGACGGGTTTATCTAGGCTAGGAGCAAGATCTATCATGCCTATTTTTCTGGCTTATTGTCATATGACACATGAAAATTCTAATAACTTAATATGATCGTAGCATTATCGACAGATTAATATGTCAGGAGGGTAACTGTCTCACTGGCCTTAAGAAAAATTTGGAGTTTCGGGTGATTTTTTTGCGAAAAACACGATTCACATACTTGATTCAGTTATTACAGACAAGTGCTGGCTAGTTTGAAGATGTGATCTTGGCTACAATGTGTTTGGATTTTATCTTGTATCAGATATCCATTTCTATATATTGCCACCTGATGTCAGGTACAAGCTCATGTCCGCTGAAAGATATTATGTTAAAGAAAATAGGAGGCATAGTGCTAACGCCCACAAGGCTCCATGCATGCAACCTCCAAGACAGTGTAGGACTTTGAGCACGAAGTACCTACACGGGACCTGAATGCCAAACCAGTCTTGGCATTGCTCAGCGAGCCCTAGTGTCCCATGAATATACAGCTCGCTGTAGATAATCCTGGGTCTCTTACTATAGCCAATCTATCTAATATTCTTAAGGCTGCCTCTCTATCATCCTCCTTCGTTATTATAGTAGAAGGATTGAGGTTTTATATTTTAATAGGCTAGTAATGAAAGCTCCTGAGCGAGCTATTCTTCCGCTGAACTTTCAGCCTCATTCGCCAGATACTGCGGACCAAATTAAAAGTTTCTGTTGGAATTGAGAATAATTAATTTATTTTTGTGTCTACCGGGCACTAGTTACAACTGGAGCCCCATCCCTGAGGGCACATGGTGACTGAAAATTTAGAAAAATTGGGGCTATCAAGTAGGCCACGTTGTTGATACACACGTGACTACAAATTCTGTACTAAGTTTCACTTAGGTAGTCACCTGAATCAATCCGCTCTACAACCTCAATAACCGAGTGGTCATTATTTCCAGAATAGTTTCTAAGTTTATGGTCCGATAATCGCAACCTTGATCAATTTGTTAGATTTCACACTGAGATACATTATACAACTTCTGTGCAGCTACCTAATGTTCCTGCAACTGAATCCACAGTACCTTTATTGTTACAGTAGATATTTAAACAGATGAAATGAGTGACTAAAAAAAACTTACGCTGAAAATTCAGTTTCATTGGGATCAATAGATATTTAACGTCCAGAAACTTGTCCCAGCACACATTAAATAGAGCCAATTAGCCCTTCAAGTACATAATGAGTGCGGTGTCTCTAATTTCCAGAGGAGCCCTCGGAAATAAAAGCTTAATTAGCAGCAAGATGAAATATACATCTTGCAGTTGATGAGCTGATAATTTTTAGGCTCTTGTATAACAGCCATCGTAGTGATGTTTAGATATGTAGGGACCAACAAAGATCGCTATCATACATCAGTTGGGAATGTCGCCCGATGAAATAAGCACAATAAATCTGGAGCGGAAGAATAAGTTGGATGACTCAATGACCTTACATGTATTATCTTAGAAATGATGACCGATCATGTTGATGAGTAACGAGTTACCTGTTTATGAATGGCGTCAGGAGTGATGGACAACTGCTGTATATACGTGTTCCACTTAGTTAGGATGGAGAGAAATAGAAGATATATGTTAACCACCAATTGTTATTACTGCTACAGAAAGCTTGTGATATAAATACCACTCGAGTATTCCGACAGTGTTATATTCAGATTAGAACAAAATGGGTGGGAGGTGTGCGCTGTAAGTACGAGTGTAGAAGGGCAAGACTGAAAACTTGTACGTGGTGCCCTCTACAAACCTGGTAGTGAGCCGGCAAAGACGAATTCTTCACCTTCCAGTGGTGCCGGTGTAATCACTCAGTATGCTCTGCATATCTGGGATAGCCAAGAAGAATCGCATCCGAATCGAAGTCGAAAGCAAACACATGTATATCTCCATTTGACGACTTCTCAACCATGCAGCACTCATCATTATCTTCTGAGTCCTCAACCCCGATCTAACCACATATCACTTCGCCTCGACGACCGATAAAGGCATCACCCCAATTACAAACAGGAGCTTGCCTCATTCATTACCGGCCATCACTCTCTACATATTTACGACGCTATTTATACCCGCAAGGAGGAAATCAAGTCGAAAAATACAAAGTTGGGGTCTTGGTTTATGAGGGACTGCTGCTCTAATGGGGTTATACATCTTGAGGAAGAACAAGCGGCTGAGATGTGGAGCGAGAAGGGAAGGGGGTCTCTGAAGACTATGCTGGGACTGACATTTTTAAGGAGTTTTCGACTTTGGATTTTTTGTGGGCGCCAAGACCAAGATTTCGGCTAATTAGCCAGGAGGGCTTCTTTTATCGATGAGTCAACGGCACTCCCCAGCGCCCTGGACGGTACAAAAGAAGTTAGGCTAAGCTACTATACAGCAATCACGCTCTATCAAGACTTTTCTGACATTTCAGCACGACCTTCGGGATGGAGTTGGAAGGAGGCTAGAAAGGCAGAGGGTGAATTTCCCGAGGTACCCACAAGTCTGCAGCGCCCAGCTGGCCGGCCTCTTCGAACGCTTCAGAAGGGGCAATATGTATTCGGATTTATTCCTAATGTCGGTATTAGAAGAGCCCCGCACCCAGTGGTTTTTGCGAATTTTCCCGGCTGCCATACACCCGCAAATGGCCATCGTTTCGTTGGCTGGAGAGGGGAGATAATGAAGGGCTAAGGGCTCCTCTTAGTGTATGATCGAATGAGGACTTGTGGGGTGTCAAACAGATTACCCTAAGTTTAAATGTTGTCTCATGATGTTTAAGTTGAGTAGTTTACAAGCAAGTAAACTGGGCTGATGCATCAAGGGCAATAACTTAGTCATGCAAATGTTACAATTAGCGACTAGACAGATGGCCAATTTCATACGCATAACTCCCTTGTTGTTTCACTCCTTCTATTGCCCATGATAATGTAAAAGCCAACCTTTGACCCATGTATGGAACAGAGATTTGAGCAGTTCGTATTGGCAATCTAATATTCAGTCTATATTTGGAATTAGTAGGATACTCAAGATGTATATAGTACCTAGATAGATTCCTCATGGGAGAGACAATCAATTCAATAAACTCTGAGAGAGATTCATATTAGTATAACTTTGCTTAACATGAGGGGTGGTACTGTTTGAGGGCAGCTGAATGGGAGGCATAGGAGGGGATATACTACTGGTATAGGTATCCTTGGCCTGTAGGCAGAGAGGACCTGCATGTCCTACATAGTCATAGACTCAGACAGGACAATAAAATGAATTAATAATAAAAACCTGGGAGTGAAATATCCTCTCAGAGCCAAGTTCAGTCAAATTTCGCAATACTCAAGAAGTTGACCCAAGAGGCAACGATTCAAATTACTCCACCGTGTCAAACTTTCACTCCCAACAAGTTTTACTCCTACATAAGTCTCGTGAAGCCTACAAGTACGCCCAAGCACATCCTCATTCCAACAACAAAAACCTCTCGACTACTCTCTGGCCTCAGCTTGTCGCCAAGTATACGCCCACGCCCATATTTACACTCGACGGAGGAAGCAAAGCGTGGCGCACAAATCTGGGAGGTAGTTCTTTGAGATGGATGTGAGAGGCATCAGGACAAGTTCATAAGATGATGTTAAGGAAGGATACAGTCTCGATGGGCGTGAAATTCCGAATTTTGGCAAGGAGTTTTGCGAATTGAGCTTTGTGCGCGCCAAGACTTCGCTTGCGAGAGTGCAGCTGACACTATAAAAACAAGCAAACGATGGAAGGTGTTGTGGTCCGCCTCCTGGTGTTGTTTTCTGGTATGGTTTGAGTAGCCTAGGCACCTACTCCACTTGGGAAGGAGACATCTCAGACCATATTTCGCGCGGAGAAAAGTTGAAAGATGATGGAGGCATGTCTGGATAATTCAGAGTTTTTGAGACGTTCCCCTGGGTGGGTGTTCACGGATGAGGGTTAACTTGGGGTGAAGAAAAAGCCACCATAACTTTGCAGTGGCACTTGCAAATGAGATCCGAGGCATGGGTGCTCTTCCTTTACATTGAGTCATCTATTATATTCTTTTCCTTTGATATTGTGTCATAGATAGATAGCTGAATACGCAATTAAAATCTGATGTGAAAAAAAAGTAAGAGTGTAAGCAACATAGAGCCTTCGCCACAATTATTATTGTGGTGCATCTAGGCATAGAAAACCCTCGATAAAATCCTTATGCCCATGTCTAATAGCCGCTAATATATCCATTGGCTAGTATGAAAC